AGAGCTCCTATCTAGGATAAAGCAGGGGATAGAACAAGCCTAACCTCTTGGAAATGGCTGATTTAGAGAGAAAGCTATCTGCTAGGTGGACAACATGATTTGTATCTTTTGAAGGAACTGAGCGATTTGGAAGCAAGGCTTTAAAATTCATCCTCAGGTTGACATTCTGTTAAACCAAAAAGGTTAGGACAAAATCAGTTTTGGTAATTAATAATACGTGGAACTTTGGAGTTGAATTTTTTTGTATGAATATATTAAAAGCATTAAGCATTTAAATTTCATTGTTTTAGAAAAAGGCAGTTCTTTGTGCTACATCACGCCAGAAAAGGGCTTGGAAAGAATAATCAAGCACCAACCACACCTTAATGTTTAGTGAACAGCAGTAAGATCTGGTTTCTAACCCCAACTGCATTCAACCAATACTACTAAAATCTCAGTAACGGCAGATGTTATCGTGTGAACACATTAAGCAAATTCATTGTAGACTTGGTTCCAGAGCGCAGATACTGAAGGCCTTTTCCACTTCTGGGAAACCCCCTCTTGAGAAATGCCATTGTAGTGAGAGCCCAGTTTGCCTTTCTGCACAGTTAAGTATAGATTCTTTGTAGTGAAAAAATTTGTCATCCAGTAAATGGGCGCTACTCTTCATTGGTCTCGGGCCACTTACCTCTGTGCTCCTGAGCTCCTTGCCCCTTGAGGCTCTTTTTCTGCTGAGTCCTCTCATTTTACCCAGATCCATCTCCCAGGGGCAGTTTCAAACCCCTTCTGGCCCCTGAAGTAAACCCGTTGCTGACTCCTTGTCTGGTTTGGGATTCCAGCAGCCTCAGTCCAAGCTGGCATCTGTCACGCTCTTGTTAACCTCTCAGAGTGGTCCACGGCCAGGGGGCAGTCACTTAGCCCGCCATGGGCTTGTGGTGGTTCTGGGTGGTTCAGGAATGAATCCTGGCCGATCCCTGCGTGCTCAGAAGGACAGCAGGAGCGTGCAGTGTTGTCTGCTGTGTAATCTAGCATCACCGGACTAGCACAGAAAGCCGTTCATGTTTACATTTTGTGTAGTCACACACTGTTTATGTGACAGTGTATAATATGTTATCATAATACACAATGCAATATTATTTATATAATGAAAACTCTTTAGGGCATGGAGCAGAATGTGCCTTTGTGATCTGAGGCACATTCGTGGTTGAGTTCTTTCTGCTTTTTATTGACAGTAATATATATATTTAATCTAGTTTAAGTATTTATATGTGCTTTCTAAGACTGTGCTAGTGGGTGTGTTTTTTTTTTTTTTAAGAAAAAGAAAAGGAAAGGAAATTAGGTGACTACCATAGTAAGTTCAGTTTCTTTGTGACTTGATGGTTAGTTTCATATTTCTGCCTTTGTTGTTGTTGTTATGTGCCGTCGAGTCAGCCCCGACTCATAGCGACCCCTCCTTGGGTTTCCGAGGCAGTATCACTACGGAAGTAGGATTGCCCAACCTTCCTTCCGAGGAGTGGCTGGTGGGTTTGAACCGCCAGCCGTCTGGTTAGCAGGCAAGTGTCTTAGCCACTATGCTACCAGAGCTCCCATTTTCTTTCTGTTTTAAATTTTTTAGTTGACAATTTAAACAAAATTAACACTTTTGTGACATTTATTTTATGTGAATGAATTCAATGAAAAGTATCATAGTAAAAAGGTGCTCTGCTGATGCAGTGGGTAAGGCATTTGGCTGCTAACCAGAACATGACCAGTTCAAACCCATCAACCGCCCCACAGGAGGAAGGTGAGGCAATCTACTTCCAGAAAGATTTACTGCCTTGGAAATCCATTGGGGTCCACTGTGAGTCAGAATTGATTCATTGGCAGTGGGTTTATCATAGTAAAACTGTTAGGATTTCTATTTTAGGCTCTGTTAGGGAGACACCCTGGTGGCGCAGTGGCTAAGTGCTCAACCGCTAACAGAAAAGCCAGTAGTTTGAACCTGCCAGCCCTTCTGTGGGTAAAAGATGTGGCAGCCTGCTTTAGTAAGATGACAGCCTTGGATATCCTAGGGGGGCCGTTTCCCTCTGTGCTGTAGGGTTGCTGTGAGTTGGAATTGACTTGACAGCCGTGGGTTTGGTTTCCTTCTCTTTCGGTTAGTCTCTATTTGGACAGGACATGTGTCACAATAAAAGTTTAACATGTTTCCACACCAGTTGAGCCATTGATTCACGTGCCTTTCCTCCTCTAGAAAAGCACCAGTCTTGTATAATTTTGAGGAAAAATTGAGCAACTGATAGGCTGAAGTAAGGCTCTAAGAGATTTGGGAATAATGTAACATGTGAGTGAGTCTGTGGCCGTGCAGGGGGCATAAGAAATTGATATTGTCATTGTTTTGTTTTCTGTACCCCATTTTCAAATCACTCTGATAATTCTTGTGTTGGGATGGCTTGCGGTAATGGCGGGGCACCCGGGTCTGACTGCTGCCATCCACTCCACTCAGAAATTCAGCAGTCATGGTCAGGAGTGCTTTGGAATTACTCCTGAAGTGACTCAGGACCCTGTGGTGGTCAGCCTGGGGATTAGAACAGGTTTTTTGCTGAGAGTTGTAGGAGAACGACTAGACCCAGTAAGGCCCTTGTTACATCCGGGGAGCAGAGGACTGCAGGTGGTGGCGGCACTCCTCTGCAGGTCTGCTCTGTCCTGGCCACAGGGTGTCTGTGGAGTCAGGAGGAATGGTAGGAAGCATACATTTCCTTACCAGGAAGCAACAGAGGCTAACGTTAAAGTACCGCTGGATAGGGATCCACAGGTATACCTAATGACTTTCTCTTGTTCTCTCTGTCACGTGATCTGCCTCCTCCACAGTTTGCCAGGGTCTTGTGACACGTTGTCCTCTTATGAAACTTCCCATAATGGTTTGCTTTCCAGGCATTTATAAGCTTGTCTCCTTGGCTTTGCACTAAGCCTCTGTGGCTCCTTGTTCCTTTTTACATTACCCAGTGGCATCTGTGTCCACTTCACAGGGAATCAGGATGTAATGAGTCGTTGCAGACAAGTTCAGTGAATTACCGAATGGTAGTGAATTACCCAGTCTCGGTTGCAGCCATTCGAGAGTTTTGAAAGAACCTAAGGATGAAACTGGAGAACTCTTGGCTCAGCCCTGTTACTTTTTATAAACAGGCACTGATTTGAAAGCTTGGTGGGTTGCCAGCACAGGCGTGATGCATTGGAAAGAAGAATGGCTTAGTGATCTGGGGGCCAGGTGCTTCTCAACTGCTGAGTGCTGCCACGAAGCCTCGAGATGTTAGAATTCTTCTGTTACAGGGTGTGTTTGCTCTGGTCTCTGTGCGGAGTCTGTGGTCATCATCAGTGTCATTGTCAAATTCCACTAAACTGGGTTACTTAAAAAAGACAAAGCAGCAAACCAGAAAAATAATGAGACTGCTTACTTTTACTCATTCATTCTCTGTTGTCTGTGAATGGTCTGATGTGGAGACTGGGTTCTGTTCTATTCGTCCTGAAAGTGTTGAGTCGTTGTTTGTCTGCTTGCTCTAACAGGCAATTCATTTGAATGGACTCAAACTAAACTCTCTCAGCTGCAGATGGCTCTCAATTAGGACCGTTTCTCCTTAGCTGGGCTGCCTGCAGTCTGTCCCAGGCGTGTGAGGCTCAGGAGACAGCCGGGGGTTTAGGCCAAGTTGGTACACAGAACGTGGGGCCCCTTTCTCTTCTTTGAGCTTTCTCCTTCCTGCTTCAGCTGCTGAGGTAGCCCTGAGCTGTGTTCTGGTTCTTGGAGTCCTTTCAGCAGCCCTAGTGGCTCAGCCTGGGCCCTGCTCCTAAGGTAACAGCCCCACAGGAAGTGCACCCAGGGTTGTTCCAGTGTATCTCCCTGCTTCTGATGACCCTGCAGTGCCCTCAGACCGTGGCTGTGCTATAGATGTTCCCTGGCAGGGCTGGTCCGGGGGAGCCACTCAGGCCCAGAAGAGAACCTTCACCCACTCCCAGTCGCTGCTCTGCTTGCTCTCATAGTCCAAGTGTGCATCACGCGTTGGTTGTGCTACCAAGCTGACGTTTTGGGATACTTTTCTTGTACTATTTTGGCAAGAACAAAGCAGAAAAATGAGGCTGGGCCAGGCGTCCCTTATTTTTTCTAGATTGCTCTGCTAACAGCGCTGACTTTCTGCCACGTGATAGGGGTTTTGACGAATAGTTGCCATACCGAGACCTAGATTACGTCTGTTGGAGGTCGCCAGGAGAATTATCATGGGGCTGAATTACGGGGATTAATATTTTCGACCCCACGCTGCCTTGTACTCACCCGCCCTGGTGAGCCAGGCCAGACATATTTCAGCTGCAAGGATTCTTTTTGTTTACATGGATGTTGGTTTGGCCTATTGGGGAGGGAGGTTTGCCTTGAGAAGGGTGTCTGCTCTGAAGCAGGAAGGGAGGGCACCGGGCCACCTTACCATGTTAGCCGCTGACAGTCCTGCAGGGGGCATGACCCAGAAAGCCCAGGGGAGGGCCCAGAGGCCCTGGCCAGGCCCTGCTATTTATAACCCCTCCCTCCTCCCACTGCTTTATTTTTAGCCTGCCTTAGGAGTCTGATAGCAGGAGGCATGCATCTCCCCCTAGAGGCTGTAGGACGCCATAGACAGCACTTTTTAAAAATCAGTGTTGCCTTTTTATTTACTGGCTATCTAAATTAATCTGCAGGATTACCATGAAGATTTGGTAAATGCTGTGTACTGCCTCCCTGCCCTGTCCTTCCGGAGGCTGAGTCACTCGTGCTAGAATAGCCAGGGGCTTGCTTGGCATGTGAGCCTCAACACCGCTGTGCAAATGTTCCTCTTCTGATCGGAGGAAGCGCACTTCTGATGTTCTCGTTCCATCACGAACCTCATGTGCTTCAGACCGGGCTGTGTTCGACTTTGATGCAGCGGCCAGGAAGAACGCTGCTGGGTTGGCACCGGGTGGTAGAACAGTTAAGGAATTAAACTTCACTCAAACGCTCTAGTAACTGAATTTTCTCCTTATCTTTCCAGGGTTTCGAAAAAACGATGAAATGAAGGCTATGGATGTTTTGCCAATTTTAAAAGAAAAAGTTGCGTACCTTTCAGGTAAAGATTAACTTTCCAACCTGCTGTATTGCTGCTCTCATGCATCCCACACAGTATCAGTGACCCCCGGGTCTGAAATACGAAGCCAGATCACCTTCCCGACATGTAAAAGCATTGGCATTTCAGTTGATCTTAACTGCTTTGTTCTGACAGCATTTTCCTGACAACTTAGTGCCCAAAGCATTTTATCCTAGCTGGTAGGCCCATCATAAGTCAAATGTTGTTGGTGATTAAAATATTTGTGTGTCTGCCCTTCAGAAAACGGTGTGTGTGTGTGTGTGTGTGTGAGAGAGAGAGAGAGAGAGCGAGAGCGAGAGAGAGAGAGAAAGAGAGAGAGAGAGAGATTTGCCCCAGTTGACTGGTGAGTGAAGGAGAACAGCTGACCGTCTCAGCAGAAGTAGGGGAATGAGACCCACCTGTGGACATGCCATTGGGAGAGTGAGACCCACCTGTGGATGTCCCTTGGGTTCTTACGTCTTTTTCTTGGGGTCTGCAGTTACTTGTTGCCTTCTCTTTTGGGAGGCGAGGCCCATTTTAGGTTGAGGTGGAGTGTCTTTTCCTCCGGGACTCTCTGGCCCTAGAGTTTGTACTGTCCCCAACTGATCCCTCCACTTACCTGTAAGAGCCGGTCCTGTGGTCTTGGTCTGCAGTGTGTAACAGACCAGACCAGATTTAAGGGTTGGGCACTTACCTGTCCTCTACACACGTGGGACTTTTTTGATTGTTTCCTTGGTGGCTGCCCCCCACACATATAGAACCGTCACTGGGAATTGCAGCCTTTTGGCATCAGTTTACTTGTGACAAAACAAAGATTTCTCAGATTTTCCTGCTCTGTTTTTGCAGGACGTCAGACTGCAGATTGTCACGTGCTTTGAGGCAGTCTTTCTGGGTGTGTTTCCATGATAAATTTTTATCTTTCTCAAACAGGAGGCACACTATGTTATATGATACCTCACGTGTTATTTTTAGTTCAGAATGCGCTTAGTGGCTTATCTGTTTCAGTGGGCCTTTTGGCCTGTTGTATGCCACGTATTTGGGATATAGCTTCCTGTGTTGTTTGTGCTGATGTAGCTTTGCTGCATGTCCAGTAGTATTCCTTGGCCCCGTGTAAACACAGTTTCTTGATTTTGCAGAAGTAAACCTAATTTATAATCTATATGGAAAATTGATAGAAGAGTGTGAGACATTCATGAAAAAGAGATGTTGTTGTTGTTATGTGCCGTCGAGTCAGACTCAACTCATAGCAACCCCTCCTTGGGTTTCTGAGGCAGTATCACTATGGAAGTAGATTGCCCCATCTTCCTTCCGAGGAGATGAAAAAGAGAAGGTGGTTTGAATTGTTGGGAATACATAGCAAAACAAGGAAATATGAAGACTCTTGATTCCACTACACTTAAGTTTTAAAGCAGCTTTTGCTTCTTTCCTACCCATTTCTTGTTGAACTGCATAATGGGGACTTTGGCCAGATTTTGTGAACTCCTTGACTTTGTAGTTTACAGATAGATCTGAAAGGCAACATAATGAAAACACTTTACTTTAAATATTAGAGGCATAAGGTAGAAGGAAGGAGCTTTGGTGGTGTACTGGGTAAGACATTTGGCTGCCAACCAAAAGATCAGTGGTTCAAACCCACCAGCTGCTCCATGGGAGGAAGATGAGAGATAGTCTACTTCCGTAAAGATTCACCGCCTTGGAAACCCAGTGGTGGTTGCTGTGAGTGGGAATTGACTTGATGGCAGTGGGTGTTTTGTTTGAAGGAAGAAGGCTTGCAGGAAGCATGTTGACCATTTTCTGATTTTTATGTCAGCCTTTGTGATGGAAGTGCCTGCTCTTTGTAGTCCCTCTTGTCCCTAAGCCTCCTGTTCTGTTTCCGTCTTTCATTAAGTAAGTGGTAATAGAAAGAGCAGAGGTGACTCAGGAGGGGTGAATTTACTTGTAGTCAGTCTTTTATTAGTCAGTGAGTACTTTAGATAAATTAGATAACACGTGCAGTGTAGTAAATTACCAGGTATGGCTTTTCTAACCATAAGTTTTTGTAAATTGGTGGAATTTGCCATGAGCAACTGAGTAGCTCTGGGAAGTTCTCTCAGTTGAATAGAATTCTGATGTTGGGATTGGTTAGTTTGGCCACTGCCAGGCTCAAAAGGAGCCCTCCTAGAAGCAGACAGAGTCTCTCTGACTGCTGGCTGAGAAAGACGTGTTGCTGAGAGAAATGTGCTCCTGAGAAACACTCACTTGCTGAGAGAGAGATATGAGAGACACATGCTGCTGAGAGAGAGACTGCTGGTTGCTGAGTGAGACCGCTGGCTGCGAGAGACTGAGTGCATTTCTGAACTTGAATTGTAGCCTGTTCCTTCCCTAATAAACTCCATAATCTGTGAGTTCTGTGTGGCCACTGCAGTGAATTATCGAACCCAGCAGAGAGGTGTTGGGTGCTGCGGGAGGAAGAGCTGATGAAAGGGCTGGAGGGAGGCAGCGTGTCTGGCCTCGCAGGAATAGGCCTTAGGCTACTGATGGTGATTCTGTCTTCCTGTTGTGGGTTAGAGGGGGTCAGAAGATGTGACCTCCCTGCCTCTTGGGCAGTTGGTGTCAGAAGTGGGATTTGTTGCTGTGTCTCCAGACTCATAGGAGCATGAGATTTTGTAAAAGAAAGAAGGAAGGGGCCTGGGAAGTGGAACTTTGGATTCTTAGATGGTTACTTTGGTTGGTGTTATCTAGTAAAGCAGATAATTAATCCAGAGGGTAGGATTTTTGATTTAACTAACTAATGAACTCACTGCTGTTGAGTTGGATCCGACTTACAGCGACCCCTCCTTGGGTTTCTGAGGCAGTATCACTACAGACGTAGATTGCCTAACCTTCTTTCTGAGGAGTGGCTGGTGGGTTTGAACCACCATCCTTTTGGTTAGTTGTCAAATGCCTTAGGCCCTACGCTGCCAGAGTTCCTAAGCCCACATACATGGAATGGGAGGATAATCAAGGTGAAGAGATGAAACTGAAATGTCTTAAAAAGGATTATATGTTTTGGCTTATGCATTTATCTGAATGTACTATAGGTATTGAATGTCTTTTGCCTGCTTGTACGTTGGAAATGATTATAGGGTATGGATAACAGAGAGCATGTTATTAGTCTGCCTTCAGCTGATACTTGATTGGATATGTTAAAAGGGGAAATAGAATTTGCCCAGCAGAAACACAGGTTTTTGTTTCAAGCCCTGTATGTAGAGTTTTAGGGGCTTAGGTGGAAAACCTGAGCCCCAACCAGAACTACTGAGAGAAAGAAGATCTGTATTTGAAAATAGGACCTATAGAGGGGGAAAAAAAAAGACTGCTTGGGTTTTTTGAATTTCAAGGAAGCAGTTAGGCTTTGGGTGCATCCAGGCAGGAAAGTTGTGGTCCATGAGAGAAACCCCTTCCAGGGCTGAAAGTTAAAGGAAGCCAGTGAGTAGCAGGCTTGTATGCTACTTGCTTGTGACCACCTTGGTCCACTTGAGCAGAAATGGGGAAAGAGCAGCAAAGAAGAAGCAGGCTGAGTTTGGTACTCTGTGACCTAGGCCATGGAGGCTGGAGATGAGGAAGGGCTGGCTGGTCTGAAGTGCAAGGAGTTGTGAGCCTGCGGGCATTGAAGTAGTTCCTGAGGACTGAAGATGTGAGAGAAGGTGCTGGCTGGTCTGAAGTGAAGGGAAGAGTGTGACTCCCAAACTTGGCATCTGGTTCCCATGACCTAGCTAGGATGGCTAGGGCTGAGCTAACCAGAACCTGACCAGATGAAGAAGAATGTGTTTGACACTGAGCTGGTGTTAAGTTGCTGTAATTTGATAGCTTGCATTGGGCTGGACTTCGCTTGTTTATGAATACAGATGCCCAAGTTTCTAAGCAGAACAGAAGATTCTCCAGAGAAAAGACCGTGCTTATCTCCTCAGAGTAATGGTTTGATAGGGATGGGCAAATTAGAAATTGGCTCTCTAAAATGGGGGAAGATAAAGGCATGAAGTGGCTGGCTTACACGCTTTCATGGGTGTGGTTATTCTTAAACTGATGGTGAAGGGGATGTTAATTTTTGAGGTATAAAAGGGATAATGGCTAGAAAAGCCAGGGGGTGGCCTGTGGTATAGTAAATTACATAGTGTGGCTTTTCTAGCCATGAGTCTTTGTAAACTCCGTGGTGGAATTTGCCATGAGTGACTGAGTAGCCCCTGATTGTTAAAGTTATTCACCTGGGGTATTTCTTTTGGTAGCAGAAGGAAGTAATTTTCTGGGAAGCTAGCTTTTCTGAGGTGTGTAGGACTCTGATGTTGGAATTGATTGGTTTGGGTCACTCTGCTAGGCTCAAGGAGCTCTGGTAGAGGCAGAAGGAGTCTCTCTGACTGCTGGGTGAGAAAGACATGCTGCTGAGAGAAACGTGCTCCTGAGAGACATGCACTTGCTGTGAGAGATAGACACGAGAGACGTGCTGCTGAGAATGCTGGCTGCTGAATGAGATGGCTGGCTGCGAGAGACTGAGTGCATTTCTGAACTTGAATTGTAGCTTGTTGCTTCCCTAACAAATCCTGTAATCTGTGAGTTCTGTGTGGTCACTGCAGTGAATTATTGAACCCAGCAGAGAGGTGGTGGGTGCTGCGGGAGGATCAGTTGGTGTCAGGGTTGGTGAAAGGGCTGGAGGGAGGCAGCATGTCTGGCCTCACAGTAATGGGCCTTGGGCTACTGATGGTGATTTTGTCTTCTTGTTGTGGGGTTAGAGGAGGTCAGAAGATGAGGGGGCCCTGCCTATTTGGCATCACATTAGGTAAAAATACATCTAGTAATACACAGAGTTATATACTGTATATTATTAGATTCTATACTAACTACATATATATTAGATTGTATTTTTACCTAGCTTACTGTCTAAAGCATAACTTTTTTATAACTAATCAAAGAAATAATATCTGCCGTTTTTCAGAGTTTATCGTAAATCCTTACTAACACCTTAAGTTCTGCAAGGTTAATTTAAGTTGGAT